AGTCCATGTTACTGGTAGCTATTGCTGTGATGATGGCACTCAGCACTTTAAACTAAGTTTTTAGAAATGACTCAAAATTGGTTATGCTTCAAAACCCCCTTTCCCTCCCTGGTCAGGAAGGTAATACTGTTGTTCCCACTTCAAAATGGGGGAAACCGAGGCACAGAGAAGGGAAGTAACTTGTCCCAAGTACATTGCCTATAGCATGTAGGAAGAGAATTCTGGAGTACTTGGCTCCAACCTCATGCTTGACTGTGATAACTCTCCCAGCAGATCATGCTAACACGTTAGGGGGGAAAGTAGGCATTTTGTGTCTCTATATCGTCTACCTCCTAAACTTGGGATCAGTCAGGGATTCTGCTGGGAGGCCACTGGTTTCTTTGGGTATGTGTGCAAACCAGCCCACGTCCCCGCTTCCCTCCCCCCCCCCACAGCAAGTCTTAGGCCTGGTCTACACTAGGGGGGGAAGTATCAGAGGGGTAGCCGTGTTAGTCTGAATCTGTAAAAAGCAACAGAGGGTCCTGTGGCACCTTTAAGACTAACAGAAGTATTGGGAGCATAAGCTTTCGTGGGTAAGAACCTCACTTCTTCAGATCGCTTCCGCCTCTCGCCGCAGTGGAGTACAGGAGTCGACCGCAGAGCGATCGGGATCGATTTATCGCATCTACACTAGACGCGATAAATCAATCCCCGATAGATCGATCACTACCCGCCGATCTGGCGGGTAATGTAGACGTACCCTCAGAGCCCAAATCTACCGACTCGGCTTGTGGGGCTTGTCATGACACTAAAAACAACAGGGTAGATGTTCCCAATCTGGCTGGAGCTTCGGCTCTGAGACCCAGGGCGGGGCTGGGTCTCAGAGCCCGGGCTCCAGCCCAAGCAAGAACATCTACTCTGTTATTTTTAGTGCCGTGGTGCATACCTGAATCTGTAGACTTGGGCTCTGTGACTCGCTGCCAGGGTTTATTTTCCTGTCTAGACATACCCTTTGTAGGATGGATGATCGGATACCTTCTGCTGGTGTGGAGCAGCTAGGAGCATGGGACAGATGATGCCGTGTTGGCACGGCGATGCGTATAGTGTATTACAAAACAAACACAGTCCCTGCCCTGAAGAGCTTAGTCTAAGGCCTTGTCTAACAGGGGATTTCAGCCATCATTGGCCAGCCACTGCACATCTGCACCACTTGTCTAGGCAGACAAAAGTCTGCATTAAGAGTACTCATTTTGTATGCAGGCAAAGAGCTTGTAAGCCACAGTTTGGAATGGCGAATAAGCTCTTCTGTGCAAATCGTGGTTTTTCACAGTGCACTTGTATCTATGTGTCTATACTGCTAAGTTCAGACAGAGAGTAGAGGTGGGAGGTCACAGCACAAGGAGAGGACAAGGGAATGAGGACAGTTATAGGTTATTTTGTAATAGAAAGGTTTGTTGCAGTGGTGTTCCTGTTTTTGTATATTCAGGACATCATTGGAAATGAGCTCTGTGACTCAATATATCTTTCCGGTACAATATTTTAATATAAATAAAATTACTTTTCTTTGTAGCTCCCACCTACGCACAGAGCATCTATTATTATTAATTGAAAGTTTAGGAGCAGAGAAGATTAAAAAGCGTATCCTTCTGCCTGAGTTGTGGTGTTCCCAGCAGTGCTCTTCCTAACTCTCTTGCATAATGTGCTTAAGCAGATAAGACAGATTGTTTTATTCCTTGCTATGAAGTTCGTCCCAGTCAATAATATTGATTAGTGCAGGGTGACTTGACGTAACAAGAATAACACCCTTTTCTTAATTTGAGCCTGTATTTCCTAATTCATGCCTCAATAGTTCATGCTTGGATGAGTTCTTCAATAAGTCAGTTAGTGACAGACCCCACTGGAAAATGCAGAGTCAGACGTTAATGGGAGAAATGAATAATTTTCTTTCTAAGTGGTACTTTTTTTCTCCTTTCCACATTTAAATTCTGTCATATTTGTGAGGGTTTTTTTAAGTTAGCTTGAGCATAAACATTTCAATTTCATTTTTTGAGAATTGTCCTTTCTTTAATTGGAAATAGACTATATTTATGAACTGCGTATCCTTAGCTAGTTCTGTGTGTTCATTGAATCCTCTTGTTAGCACAGAAATTTTCATATGTCTTAATGTGTTCTAACTTTTCTGTTAATACTTATACACACATCTGGGGAGCTGAGTTTACTTGTCAAAGTACTATAAGTAAATCTAAATACCCATGTTTTTTTATGTGGTTAATTCACTCCCCCGCCCACCCATTTTAATGATTTCATAAAGGACATACAATGCAGCATACCGAAAGATCTTTGACAAAGATTTTCAGCATAGAAATACTGTATAGTGGAGCCTAGAGGTCAAGACTTGGAAGTCCTGAAGTCTGCTCTGGGCTCTGCCCTTGATCAGAATCACTTAACTTCTGTGTATCTCAGCCCTGGTCTAAATTACAAACTTTTAGTCGGTATAACTATGTTGGAAAATCCATACCCCTGAGTGACACAGTTATAGCAACCTAACTCCTGGTGTAGACAGTGCTATGTTGATGGGAAAGCTGCTCATGTCGACATAGCTACTGCCTCTCAGAGATGTGGAGCACCTGTGCTGATGGGAGAAACTCTCTAGTTGGCATAGGTGGTGACTTCACTAAGCACTGCAGCAGGGCAGCTGCAGCACTGTAAGTGTAGACAAGCTCTCTGTTTCCTTATGTATTTAATTGGAATTTTAACATTTACCTACGTAATAGGGGGCAGTGTGAGGATCTCTTTGAATCAAAATCAGGGCTGAGAATTGTTCTATATCAGTGTTTCTCGACAAGCGATCTGTGGACCAGCGCCAGTCCCTGAGATCTCCCTGATGCAGTTTAGGAAGGCAACAAGCTGGTCCCTGGTATCAAAAAGGTTGAGAAGCGCTGTTCTATATAACAGTACTGAACTGGAGGGACCACTTCTAGGGTGCAAAGGGAGTTGGCATCTGTCACCTGATTGGTCCCTGATCTCTGTACTAAGATTGTTAACATAGTGACCAAAGAGATCTAGAGGTGGTGGAGCTTTTGTGTGACTTGGCTACTAGGCAAAGGACTGAGGCATGTAAACTTGACTCCCAACTTCTTTTCAGAGTGATTTATTCATTGATTCTCACCTTCCCCCCCTCTCTTTTCCTCATTTCAAGATTCAGTCTTCCTCCCATGTCATGAGAGATGGACGTAAAGGTCAAAGAGCATAGTACTCTCCTGCCACTGGTTTGATTTCAGGTAGCATTGTAGATGGGAAAGAGGCTATCAAAATAATGTGACTAAGCTCTTTATTATTTATTTTTAATGAATGGATGGTTCATGTGTATTATGTGCCATTACAAGAATACCACCAAAATATCCTTACAAACATAACCCAACTGACTTAGATTGCTTAGGGCTAGATTCAGACCAGGTTCTTAGCGCCTAACACTTGGAAGTAAAAAAGGGGAGAAGGTTGTGTTTAAGACTCCATTATCAACCACAAAGTGAGCAGTGCTGAGTGACAAGGGGAAATGGCCACGATGCTAGGGTAATATAATATATTGAATGATCAAAGATTCCACAGTCGGAAATTTTTGTCATTCACGTCTGAGGCAGAATAGACTCCAGCTTGCTCGCCCTTTGTTTTGTTTAGGCTTAACAGGAGTACAGTCTTGCAGCTGTCAAGAGATATGACACACAGAATGAATGGCTCTGTCGAGTAAGACAATTCCAGTTTTACAGTTATTTTCTGTCTATATCTGTGCTTAAAGCCAATTGATAGTGGGATTTATCTGTGGCAGTAACTTTGGTACAGATGTAATGACACAAGACTGGTGTTTCATTTCTGATTTTAAGACCTTTAGTCCAGTTTTCAGCTCTGTAAATCACACTAAGTATGTGTATACCGTACCTTCCAAGAGATGACCCTTTGATTAACTGATGCAAGTGAATGTGCCAAATCAGATCTGTTTATTTCTGCTATATCTGCAAAACACTGGTTTAGCAAGTACTGTACCTGGGATCTCGGCAGAGAAGTCACAAGAGTCAAACAATGTGGGAAATTGTTTGACTCTTATAAGCCTTTACCTAAGAGATCTAAAAAATCAATAGACCTACACAAACAAAATAAAATGGAACAATAGTTATGATGTCATAAGATACCCAGTATAAAAATGAAGCTAGTTCCTAAGAAAACAAACAGCAGCAGGGTGGAAGGTCCCCTAAAATTTCGCACTTTTATAGAGCCTTTCATGCTAGGATCAAAAGCACTTTCCAGATATTATAGTGAAGTTTCCAAATATCTCTTAAAGGTACGTGGCATTATCCCTGTTGACCAGAGCCTGGCTGTTAGCTCAAGCAATAGAGACACTCATGCTTTTGAGAAAGGATGGTTCAGTGGTTGGGGCACTAACTTGGGACTTCCTGCGTGACCTTGGGCAAATAACTTTAACTCGGTTCCTCATTAGTAAATGGGAGTAATACTTCTAGGAGTGTTGTGAGGATAGAATCCATTAATAATATCTGAGCATTTCAGAACTATGGTAACAGGGGCCATATAAGTATCTAAGAAAGATAGGTGGGTAAACTGAGGCACGGGGCAGTTGATGGTTTGCCCAAGGGGACACAGCAATTCAGATGCAACAATGGGAATAGAAACTGAGTCGAACTGATGTCTAATTCTGTGCTCAGTCCTCTAGCCAACTCTCAACCCACACTGTTGCTAACAACCAGGAAGGAATATAGTCTCTTATGTTTACTAATGGGTGATGTGATCCTTGTCTTTATTTTGTCTTTCAGTCAGAAGTTACACATTAGAAGCCCAGTTTATCCTAATAGAACAGAAGAATTGAAATATGTTCATTTAATTACAGACCTTTCATGATGCATGTTGAGGGAGGGGAGGAGCCTGAAATGATTTTAAGATGCTAATGAATTTTAGAAAGGGTACATTCAGATCTTTTAAGAAAACTCTCCTTGTGTGTTTTTGTTTTCAAGGAGGTCCTGATGATAATTTAATCGAAGGTGGTGGATCGAAGTTTGTCTGCAAACCAGGTGCAAGAAATATTACTGTCATCTTTCATCCATTACTCAGGTAAGGTTTCATATATGTATCTATAAATACAAATAAATAATTGGAGCAAGTGGAAATAATGTGCTTTCCTGAATTGTGTTTGTCTTGGAGAGGGTTGGGGGTTGTTTTGTTTTGTAGAGAGGAGTGGCATTGTTTCTGTTTCTGAGATGAAATGCCATAGCAGTGATGGAGTATTGATGCTCTTGCTGTAAAATTATTCTCCTAGATAAGTTCCTGGAGGATAGGTCCATCAATGGCTATTAGCCAGGATGGGCAGGGATGGTGTCCCTAGCCTCTGTTTGCCAGAAGCTGGGAATGGGCGACAGGGGATGGATCACTTGATGATTACCTGTTCTGTTCATTCCCTCTGGGGCACCTGGCATTGGCCACTGTCGGAAGACAGGGATACTGGGCTAGATGGACCTTTGGTCTGATCCAGTATGGCCGTTCTTATGTAAAAAAATCTCCAGGTAGCTTTACAGCAGATGTGCACTTCACCTCTTAAAGCTCGATAGCTCTCCTGCTGGGCTTACTTGCTTGTTTTGACCCCTTTTGCATGAAACAATGTAATTTATTATTGATCAATGCTGGGAAAAGTTTAATCACAGCTTGTGGCAAATTGTTTATCATTCGTTGTCCGTTATGTTTAATAAAAGTCAGAGGAATATTTTCTGCACCGCAAGGTAAGTTAATTTCTCAGTAAACAGGTTCAACTTACGGACTGCAAAATAAGTCCCTGGTCTAGGGTGCAGCATCAATTATTAAAATACATTAGAAATTCTCAGCTGAAAGCTCATCAAGGGCTGTTGGAAGTTTTAAAATATCTGAGCTGAGTTAGTTAGAAATAGGAGGCTTATTGCAGCGCTGTTCAATTTTAATTTCACCCTTTCCACCTTGTGATTTAGTGCAGAATAATATGAGGTTTCTTTTCCCATGCAATAACCTACAACTTGTCTTTCATCTCTATAGTTTTTTACATGGGATTCCCCCTTCCCTGTTGTGCCTGATTTTCCCCTAGTCAGTAGCAGAACAAACCTCAGAATAGCACCATCTCTTAACATTATTTATATTACTATTAAAAATCACTTATGTTAGTGTGAATTTTTGCAGCACCTTACAAACATTGGGCCTCATCATGAGAGGAACTGAAATCCCTCAATTGCCATCGAAGTCTATGAGTGCTGTGGGCATTCATTATTTCTCAGGGTCAGAGTTATGGAGTAAAGCATGTTCCTTGCCCTGGGGTCTAACACGCCGATATTTGTTTTCAATTTGTGTTCCTACCTCTAGAGAGGTGGCCGTGTTTAGTGATCAGAGCTGGGAGTCAACTCCAGAGTTCTCTTCTCCTCTCTGCAGATGACTAAGGCCGTGGCTACACTCAAAACTTCAAAGCGCTGCCGCGGGAACGCTCCTGCAGCAGCGCTTTTTGAAGTGCGAGTGTGGTCGCGCACCAGCGCTGGGACTGCAGGTACTCCACCTGTTATACCAATAGAATAAAAACCAGCATGATCTTATTAAGAGGGATAAGGCAAAGATGCCACATTTATTGTAAATATAATGATAAAGCAAAAGATAAAAGTAAACAACGTTGTTTGACTAATTATTCCTATTACTACTTATTCCTTACACACACACACACACACACACACACACACACATATTCATATATATATATATTCTATTTACACAATCATTCATTCAAGTTCTGTATAGGTGTTATAGTTACCAGCCTAGTAAGTTGCTCATGCCTAAGTTACTGGCCAGGTATCTTGGTCATGAGGATGGAGCCTGAGTCCGTGTCAGGTGCACCTGATGCTCCTGGAGGCTGGCAGCAGAACCAGAGACTCAAAATCCTCAGTCTTGAGAGTCCATTCTTATAGGAATTAATTCCTATGTTAGTCTATGGGAGCTGTTTCATCCTGCTGTTGCTGACTCAATCAGCAGATGGCACATTCCTGGGCACATTCCTGGTGGCTCCACACTGTTCAAAGTTTGTGTTTCTCATCCTTCCAGGTGATGGGGTGAATGGCAGTTTACCCTCCGGGGGTTCTGGTGCTCCTCTTTACGCATTCTTTGGCCGATGGATACTCCCTTTCTAGGCTGGCACCTCCCTAACCATTCATGTACATCAAGCATTTAGCGGGGAGGGATAGTTCAGTGGTTTGAGCATTGGCCTGCTAAACCCAGGGTTGTGAGTTCAATCCTTGAGGGGGCCACTTAAGGATCTGGGGCAAAATCAGTACTTGGTCCTGCTAGTGAAGGCAGGGGGCTGGACTTGATGACCTTTCAGGTTCTAGGAGATAGAGATATCTCCATTAATTTAATTTTTTTAAATTTAAATTTAATTTAAAGCATTCATCAACATACATTCCATATCTTAACCATATTTTAATTTACTGTCTCCACCACTTTCGGGGTGTGTGCTTATTCATTTGAGACTCCCGGCCCTTTAATCACAGAGGGTGGGGGTCTGTTCCTAGGAGCTGTTGCTGTTACAATGAAGTGAGAGTCACATAAGGGCTTATAGCGTTTGTTTACATTGTATCAATTACTTCAAGAACAAAGTCAATTAACTTGTTTGTAAGTTTTACATAGTGATACAGGACAGATACAATCAACGGTTTCTACAGACAGTAGCTTACAAGTTTAAACAGAAGACCGAAGAGATTTTTGCACTTGGTGAAACTGTTGGATTTTAAAGTGTGGGGGACAAATTATTGGGGGGTCACTGTCACTTGGTGGAATCACTGTTAGTACCTTCTTTAATATCCCTACACACCTCCACGAGGGGATTAGCTGGGGCACTGTTTACACTGGCACTTTACAGCGCTGTAACTTGTTGCGCTCAGGGGGGTGTTTTTTCACACCCCTGAGCGAGACAGTTGCAGCGCTGAAAAGCGCCAGTGTAGCCAAGCCCTTACTAACTGCTTTTAGGCAATTTACATAATGTTTCTGTGCCTCGATTTCTTCAGCCATAAAATGGAGATAAAGTAATACATCTTTGACAGGGTCACTGGCCTAGTGAATAACAGGGAGGCTGTCAATGTGATATATCTTGATTTTAGTAAGGCATTTGGCACAATCGTACATGACAGTCTCATAAACAAATAGGAATTGTGGTCTAGATAAAATTACGATAAGGTGGGCGGGCAACTGGTTGAAAGACCATACGCAAACAGTAGTTATCAATAGTTTGCTGTCAAACCGGGAGGACATATCTTCAGGGGGTCAGTTCTGAGTCTGGTACTAGTCAATATTTTCATTAATGACTTGGATAATGGAGTGGAGAGTATGCCTATAAAATGTGCAGGTGACACCAAGCTGCGAGGATTTGCAGACACTTTGGAGGACAGGATTAGAATTCAAAATGACTGTGGAAAAATTGGAGAATTGTTCTGAAATCAACAAAATGAAGTTCAATAAAGACAAGTGCAAAGTACAATACTTACGAAGAAAAAAGCAAACGTGTAACTACAAAATGGGGACTAACTGGCTAGGAGGTAGTACTGCTAAACAGGATCTGGGGATATAGTGGACCACAAATTGAATATGAGTCAACTGTGTAATACAGTTGTAAAAAAGTCTGGTATCATTCTGGAATGTATTAACAGAACTGTTGTGTGTAAGACAAAGAAGGTAATTGTCCTGCTCTACTCTGCACTGGTGAGATCTAGGCTAGAGTACTATGTCCAGTTCTGGGTGGACCACTTTAAGAAAGATCCGTGGACATGTTGGCGAGAGTCCAGAGGAGAGCTACGGAAACGATAAAAGGTTTAGAAAACCTGACCTATGAGCAAAGATTAAAAATATGGGGCATGTTTAGTCTTGAGAAAAGAAGTGTGAGGTGGGGACCTGATTAGTCTTCAGATATGTTAAGAGCTGTTATAGAAGACAGTGATCAAATATTTTCCATGTCCACTAAAGGTAGGGTAAGAAGTAATGGGCTTAATCTGCAGCAAGGGTGATTTAGATTAGGTATTGGGGGAAACTTTCTAACCATAAGGATAGTTAAGCTTTGGAATAGGCTTCCAAGGGAGGTTGTGGAATCCCCCATCATTGGACGCTTTTAAAAACAGGTTAGACAAACACCTGACTGGGAAGGTCTCAGTGTACTTGGTCCTGCTTCAATGTAAGGGACTGGGCTTGATGACCTCTCATGGTCCCTTCCAGCCCTACATTTCTATGATTCTATAATAGCCTATCTTTACAAGTCTTAAATAATAAATCCCTATATGTGGCAAGGATATATTAATTAAAATTTGTTGTGTGCTTTGAAATCCTTGGATGAAAGGGGCTACATATATTCACATTATTACTGTGTGATACTATAGGAGTCAATAGCAATAAACGAAATGGATTATTTTTGTTAACACCATTTTATTTCCCCATGTCTCCTTTACATCGTAAGAAACACTGATTGCTAACTTGTAAGCTGTACTTTTTTCTTCTTCATTTGACAAGGAGCTTTTGCTCTGCGTTTAAAATCCTTGTTTAACGAATTTACTGGTAATTAATAACTAATGTGTAAATAGCTTCAGAAAGTATAGGAGTACTTGTGGCACCTTAGAGACTAACAAATTTATTAGAGCATAAGCTTTCGTGGACTACAGCCCACTTCTTTTTGCGGATTCAGACTAACACGGCTGCTACTCTGAAACCTGTTCAGAAAGTATGTTGCATAAAGTCATCAACCACTTTATTATGACAGAGAAAGACCACTATTATTGTAATGTGCTATACAAAGTGACCACTTTATTATGGCATGTAGTTCTGGCTGTTCATCTTTAGTGACTATGTTGGCTTGTCACAGACAATCAGATATTACTTTATTGCTGACACACTTTACAAGTCTGTGAGGTATAATGAAAACTTTCCCCATTTTCTCTCTCCTCTCACTCCCACCCCCCACCCCAATCAACACAGATGATGCATTTTGAATAGCAATTCTCATGACACCCTCTGGTTTTATTACCAGCTTGATGGGTAGGCAGTGGAAATAATTTATGTCATAAAAGCCGTTACAACAAGATTTAAGATTGAAA